AATTATTTTTTTCCAAATATGTATCATGTAACCATCACCCCAATCAAGATATAGAAAACAGGGGGCAGTGTGTGTGGGGGGAGGGAAGACAGGGAAACCTTGGTCAAAGGATACAAAATTTCAGGTAGAGAGGAGGACTCCTTTAAGGGATCCATTGTACAACATAGTGACTCTAGTTAATAACAATGTATTGTTTTTACTTGAAATTGCTAAGAATAGATTTTAAGTGTCCTCACCACAAATCAACCATAAGTATGTGAAGTAACAAATGTGTTAGTTAGCTTGATTTAGCCATGCCACAAGGTACACAATTTCGAATGTGTTGTACACCATAAATATATATAATTATATTAAAATTAAGTTAATTAATTTAAATACATAAATAACTTCTTTAAAAAAGATGTAGAACATTTTTATCTTGCCAGAAAAGTGTCTGATGTCCCTGTGTAGTCAACTTCTCTCCCTCAGCCTCTGACCCTGGAATGCACTAATCTAATTTCGACCACTGCAGATAGGTCCTGCCTGCTCTAGTATTTGAGGCAATGGAATCACAGGGTCTGTGCTCTTCTTCTGTGACCAGCTGCTCTCACTCAGAGTCATGTGGAAGGGTTTCTTCCTCAGCCATTCCTTTACACGAGATGTCTGCAGCGGCAGCACCAAAGCCACCCTCCAGACTGGTAGGAGTTATCCACAAGGCACCAGTGCCATGTGTGTCAGTTCTTAAAATGTTTCTTCTCTTGCCAAGGGAGGGAGGCAGCTGCCATGCTGCTCAGGACAGTGAAGGGACCCCTTCATCCCACCTTGCTGGAGCCTCCCAGTAGGAGCACAGGCCAGCCAGCAACCTGATGTCTGCCTTGTGAAACCTGAAGAAGTCAACTGAGTTAACCTAGACTTCTCACCTATAGAACTGTGCAGCAATATGTTTTTGTTCTCAGCTACTTAGTTCGTAGTGGTTTGTTACCACAGCTGCAGAAAACTAATATAGAACTCTATCTGAAAAAAGAGGGACTCCTCAACTCTGACTCCACACTGCTAGAATGATGACCAATGAATAAAGAAAGATGTCCATTGTCTTATGACTACTTTTCATGGAGGCAATTTGAGTCCAACTGTCTGAAACAGGATATTCCATTTAAGGTAAAGAATTTGCCTTTTGTTTTTATTTGTAAATGAATTAAATAATTCTTAAGATGTGGAGGTCTAATTAAATCCATAGCTGCTCAATTCTTCTGCATAAGTAAGTGAATAATTTCATATATCTGTAAATGTATTGTGATTACATTTAATTCATGCATTCATTTAACAAACGTTGTTCGAACACCTACTATGTGCCAAGTACTCTCTAGTTGTTGGAATACAATAATAAATGATAAGGGGAAAAATCTCTGCCTGCATAGAGTTTCTATTCCAGAAAGGTGAAGCCAACTGGGAAGAGGGATGAGGAGGGAGATAGAGAAGGGGAGCATAGACTCTATGTGTATGTGTGGGCAGGGGTTCAGAGGGGCTGAAATTTAAAATAGAGCCATCAGGGAAATCATCCTGGAGAAATTGATGTTCAGGCCAAACCTGAAGGAGGTCTTGTGCCCTGGGCTGCAGCCTGCCAACATACTATGAAGCAAAAAGGTGCTGATGCAGCTGGAGCTGTGTGGGAAAGATGAATCAGAGAGGGATCTGGGGTGTGAGGGCTGGGCAGGTCCTGTAGGCAGAAGGAAGCCCTGGGGGCTGGGGCAGAGTGGCAGGTGTGACTCTGCTGTTAGGAACTCTTTCTGGCTGTGGTGCTGAGGGCAGGCTGCAGTGGAACAAGTACTGGAGGAGTCCTCCCACCCATCAGGAGTCCTCCCCAGCACCATCCTGTATTGATACGAGTGCTTGTTTCACCATGCACATCTGTGCTTGTGTATAAACACTTATGATAAGATCTTGCTGTCTGGCAGATAAGAGCTTGATACAGAACAGCTCACTCCAGCTTTCACTATGTATGCTGCAGGTCTCCCCTCTAAAAATGAACTTACACGTGAAAATCACTTGCATCCGTTTTTCTTGATACACTGAAGAGCTTTACTCATATCCTTATTTGACTGTCATCAGTAAAGCAGTCAAAAGAAAAAAATCTAAACTGCTATATGTATATTACTCCATTAACAGATTTTTCTCTTGCAGGTTGGACAGCTGGTTTCTTGAATCAATGTGTAAGATTTATTGGAGTGATTTCCCATCCCCTCCTGCTAGGTACTTTGGAAAGAGGACTTCCAAAGTTCCAGTAGCCGTCTTTTGTGAAAATAGAATTTACTTAAAACTTATTCTATATCTCTAATAGTTGTAGATGTTTACAATTTAGAAAATTCCAAGGACTTTTTCATTTGTGTTTTGCATTTCTTTCTGATTAACTGATTAACTTAGATGTGTGCTCATGTCATAAACCTAGTTTGTGCTCTCTAAATATTTATTGAAGAATTAATTAATTTTAGGTATAAGGTAAATTCAACTGGTCACAGCAAACTACAGAACCAATTGTTGAAAATAGCTGTGAAGGTAATTGCTACAGAGGAAGAGCTATTTGAACAGGCTAATTTGCTTCAAGATGGGATCTGAAAAGGGATTCTTGAAGCTAGTTGGGTATGAGAAGGACTGCCTGAAAAGACATTTTCTTTAGGTTTCCCAGAATTTGCATGAAAAAAGAAGAGAGAGAGTGCTTGAAGACACCATGGAATATTGGGAACGTCCCTGGTACTAAAGACTTCGCCGTTCTTCAAACAGGACTGCTCCGATTGCAACCACAGATGCCATTGGGTCCCATTTTCAACAACTTTTGAAAATTGCAACAATTAATAGTGTCCTTCTCAAGAGAAAACTCTTGTGACATAGGTTTGCATGTTTAAAGTAAAAAGGAACACCCCACGAACATTCTTTCTAAACTACACCTTTTCTATTTTCTAGTGGAAATTGTGACCACAGGTTACCATGTTTTCCTTCCTGTGTTTGAAAACCACATGTGTTTTAGTGAAAACATTAAGGTGAGTAATAAAATGGAAGATTTCAAAGTACCAGGTGCCTGTCACTAGAAATGGAACTATCTTACTTATTCCTTCTTCTAAGGCAGTAAATTCAAGTGAGTTGAAGATGTAATTTGTAGTCAATCCATCTCAGCTGAATATAAATCATGCATCCTGATCTGGAGTAAAAATATTATACAAATATTTTTCAGAGTTAGGTTATTTCATACTTTATGAATTTGTCAAATGGAAAGAAATGTTATCTAGTCCATTGCTTTGTTTTACAGCAGAGGAAACTGAGGCCTGCAGAGATTATGGGACTCCCCAAGTTCTCGTGGCTTGTCGGGGTGGAGCCCAGACATGTCATGATCATGAGTCTGGAGTTCTAGGACTCAAAAGTCCACCATCTGCCACCACAGCACTCTGCCTTGTTCCCTGATAACACAGCAGATAACAGCAGAAAAAAGGCAGGGAGGGGCACTATTGAGTGTTTCCTAGGAATGTCCATGTTTTATTTAAACTCATTCTCACCTGTAAGGTAGGTAAATACAAGCAGAGGCATGTTGTCCAAACTAGCCAGCACCTGCTATGTGAGCAGGTTCTTTAAGTATCAATGAGAAAGAAGGTGATCATGTTTCTTTAAGACTGAGAGTCAGAAGCCAAACAAGTTAACATCTACGCTTTTCTAAAAGTATCACTTGACATTTTCCTCTATTTCTGTTACTTTCTCAGCAACATCAAAAATATCCTTAAGACCATAAGGTAATTGCCAGCTGACTCGCTGGAGGGGAAGGTATCTCAGCAGCCACGGGTGTCTGCCAGTGAAAAGCTGAAGGTGCAGCTGGGTGAGGAGAGCAGCCAGGAGCCTGATGTCCATTCCCACCTGGCCACATGAAGCTTCCTCTGCCTGCCTCACTCTGTCACCCTGTACCCCTCTCTGCTGTGGGCACAGCTGGCTACTGAGGGGTGAGCCCCCTAGACGCCTCCTCCTTGAACGACCCTAATCCACTCGATCCTGGATTTAGCAGTTTTAGAAACTCAGTTTTCTCTGGGTATTCAGTACATGATGCAAAAATGCAAGACTCATCTGTTATCCATCACAGAGGGTCTGCCTCAGAAGGTCACTGGTCTTGTTCAGTCACCTGGGAGGCTAAACCACAGATCAAATGGTTCTCCGTGAGCAAAGATAAATGTGGTGAAAAAACAATTAAGAGGATATTTGTCTCAAGCTAGTAGAGACGCATCCTCCTGCAGTGTAGAAATATGGTCGGCTCCCTAAGGAAGGAAGTACAATTGAACAATTCGGAAAACAAGATGAGAAATTCTTATCATCCAGCCCTCCTTTTATTTATTTTTTAATTTTTCCATAAGTTTTTGAGGTACAGGTGGTGTTTGGTTACAAGAGTAAGTTCTTCAGTGGTGATTTCTGAGATTTTGGTGCACCCATCACCCAAGCAGTATGCACTGCACCATATTTGCAGTCTTTTATCCGTCACCACCTCCCACCCTTCCCCCGCAAGTCCCCAAAGTCCATTGTATCATTCTTATGCCTTTGCCTCCTCATAGCTTAGGTCCCACATATCAGTGAGAGCATACGATGTTTGGTTTTCCATTCCTGAGTTACTCCACTTAGAATGTTAGTCTCCAGTTCTCATCCAGTTCCCTGCAAATGCTGTTAATTCATTCCTTTTTATGACTGAGTAGTCTTCCATCGTATAGATATACTATCGTTTCTTTGTTTTGGTTTGTTTTGTTTCTGAGACAGAGTTTTGCTCTTGTAGCCCAGTTTGGAGTGCAATGGCACAATCTTGACTCACTGCAACCTCCATCTCCTGGGTTCAAGCAATTCTCCTGCCTCAGCCTCCATAGTAGCTGGGATTATAGGAGCCTGCCACCACACTCAGCTACTTTTTTTGTATTTTTAGTAGAGACAGGGTTTCACTATGTTGCCCAAGCTGGTCTCGAACTCCTGACCTCAGACGATGCACCCGCCTCGACCTCCCAAAGTGCTGATATTACAGGTGTGAGTCACTGCACAGTTTCTTTATCTATGAACCCTCCTTTTAAATATTCTTTGTCAATCCCAAGGACTTTTAACCTTAAAATCTTCTCTCTAACTCAGATTAAAATTTCCCAGATGATTATGTTCCCTTTACTTATACCCAAGTTTCAGTGACGTGATGAGTGATGACATTTTTATCTCATAGATGAGACGCACCACCTCTGAGGGTCAGAGTGAGGAAATTCTCACCACTCCTGCTTGCTCTTGGTGCGTTCTTGCTATTGGATTCCATTTAGAAATTGGCATGACCTTTTGCCCAAGTTGACATAAATTCTACTTTTTAAATGTTTGAGGCATTTAACCACTGACTACAATGTGAAATTCACACGTTACTGAACTTTTTCCTTTATAGAGAAATTTTTAAAGCATTATTATTTGCTCTGTACAAGGCATGGTGCCAGGAAAACAGAGGAGATACTAAACGAGATGTAAAACAAGCTCAAGTCTTGGGGGACAGAGATGGGGGTGGAAAGGGAGGAAGAGGGAGACAGAGAGAGAGAAAGATGATTGTGAAATCGAGAGGGCAGCAGAAGCCTTACAGAGAAGGAGAGGGCTTGAATCACAGCAGTGAGAGCGGGAAAGGAATGGAGACACCATTTTAACTAACACTTCACTCATCAAATAAGAAAAAAGGATTCAGAAAGTGTACATGACTTATTCGAAATTACGCTATCATTAAGCCTAACTTGTTGCCATACAGAGTAACAAAGAGAGAGGGAGAGAGAATGAACATACCTGTCCCCTGCCCTCCACTCAGTAAGCTCCTGATGAACTCTCAGTCACCTGGGAAACCAACGCTGTTTCTGGCTATATAGAAAGGACTTTGTACATATAATATTATATTTCATTTTCAAATAATCTTTCTCCCAGAGTTGACACACGCAGAAAAGAATGCAAGTCACAAATGCTCAGCTAGATGAACTTTTACAAGGTGGACATGCCTATTACTACCCCTGCATCGAGTCATAAAATAGCACCATGAGCCATCCTGGGGCTCCTTCCCTGACCCGCCACCACCCGCTCCTGAGATGCGGCAGCTACTACCATGACTTTCCATTGCGTGAATTAATTTTACCTGTTTTTGAAGTTAATGTAAACAAAATCATACAGTATGTCTTTTTTTGGAGGAGGGGGACCTGGCCTGTTTCACTTGACCTTATGTTTACGGCATTCGTTCAAGCTGCGGCCTGTTTCCACTGATGAAAGTACAATTTTATTGTGCAGTCTACAGTTGGTGGGGACTTCAGTTCTTTCCACTTGGGGGTGATTACAAACTGGGCTGCAGTGAACATGTGGTACATGTCTTTTAGCACCCATGTCTACATTTGTGTAGGTTATGTACCCATGACATGCCTGGGTCACTGGTTTTGCATATGTGCAGCTTTAGTAGGTACTGCTAAACGGTTTTTCCAACTTGTATGAATTTACATAAGAATTCCTCTTTCTCCACTCCCTCCCCATGATGTATGTAATGGATTCACTATGTCCAGGGAGTTACAAAGTAGAGCATGGAATTTTTTGAATTTTCTTCCATAGCTAAGAAATAAAAGAATTTAAGCTGAGAACTGTGGGAGAGGTCTTCATTCTATGCAAACCCAATCACAAGGAAAAGAGAAAGCGTGAGTCTTCAGAAGGTAAGTAAATGTAGAGAGGTTTGGGGAAATAGAGACAGGTACCAGCGTTTTGTTTTTTACAAATCTTTTTAGGGCTTTGACTCTATGGAGGGCACAAAGACTATCACCCCAAGAACTCAGGTTTAAAGACTTTCAGTTCTTTTATTGTTTGGTTTCGTTAGTTCAGATTTTTGCTACGTTCCTAGGAAAGGTGGAAGCCTGGGAGTAAAGCTGTGATAGCTAGAATGTGTTGCACCAAGCTGAGTTTTATCCAGAAGGCTTTTAGGTTCTTACATGTTTATGTCTTTTCTAGTTCCCTTGGCAGGGCGAGGGACAGGATAGAAAGGCTCTGGGGAACAAACATCATGTCTTTTGCTCAAGAGAAACTTTCTTAGTGTGATTAAAATTCAATCCATATTTCTGCATCCCTCTCAAATGTATATAAGTCCTAAATTTATGTAACTAATATGACAGCTCCATATCAATTGCTTCAGTCTTGACCTTTTCCTCTTGTTAAAAGCACATGATCCCAGTTATTAAATAAGGAGTTTGTGGTTTTCTTTCACTGTGCAGTAGAAACGCTTTTAAAAGTTGCTTTGGAAGAAAGAAAAGTCATTCTTTGGAGTGATAAGGGCAGATTTAAACAGTATCATTACTCATTCTTTGATGTTTTTTTCCTATGTGTGGGAATATTTGTCCTTCAGTAAAAAGCAAAGCACCTAGTCCTATTCAGAGCAACCAGAATATTCCAATCAGCTGCCTAAAAATCACATCTGCAATTTTCTAAAAAATAAAACATCAGCAAATCCAGTAAAAACCAAAGAAATAATTTTAAAAATTGATGTTGTGGCCTAAACTATAAACTGTATGGTACAGAAAATGTGGGCTTCAGTCTCAAGATATGTGATCTCAGTCACAAGGAGGTAAAATGCCAAAGTGTTGACAGGTATCTTTATATTTTGAGATTAGCAGTGATTTCAACTTTCTTTTATAGACAATTTTGTATTTTTCAAAATATTTATGGTGAACATTTATTACTTCATAATCAGGCAACCAGTAAGAGTTATTTTTAAAATACAATAATTCAAAAAGAAAAGACAAAAGAATATTTGAAAATACCAAAATATTACCTGTCTTTGGGTGGTGACATTATAGCTAATTTTTTTGTTTTCTCTAATTTCCAGTTGTTTGTGTGTGTGTGTGTGTGTGTGCGCGCGTGTATGTGTGTGTGAATGCATAACCTTTATTATAAGAAAAACAACAGACATTTCTCAAAATCTACATGTTTATGACCCCTTCTTTTAGCTCTGCAGATGGTGGCCAGAATTCTCTAGCCAGAGTTCAGCATGGCTCCAAATGAAGCCTGCCTGGTTTCTGATCCTGGCTCTGCCACTGACTTGCCTTGTGGTCTTGTGGAAGTTACTTATTTTCTCCAAGCCTCAGGTTCTCCTCTGTAACGTGTGTATAATCCCCATATCATAGGATTGCTGGAGGGTTAAATAAGATCATATATGGAAAATGCTATGCTACAAATGCTCTATAAGGGATAGATATTAATTCAAAGTGCACCATTCTCTTCTTGAGGCTTATAGGGATCAAAGCACTTTAGAGGTTATAGCTACTCAATCTTCCCTATAAAACTTCCAGAATGTGATATGAATATACCTTCCTTTTAGTAACTTAAAAACCAACACTTTGAGAAGAGTTTGTGAAATAATGCATGACATTTGTAACCTGTGTAGAAAAATAAACACATTTTCTGATTTCAAATACCACGTGTCTTCAAACATTGTATCTCCATCAAGTTCTCATAAGAGATATAAAAAGATTAGTTCATTAAAAAATTTTTAAATATTATGCAAATATCAAAAATAGAAATGTAAGCTAATAGAAATAAAAATGTAATCTATTAAGATTATTCCTTAAATATAAGAGATTTTTCTTCAATCATCATAGTCCATTTTACTTAAGTACGAGGCAATCCAGGTGCAGTTTTGTTTGTTTTAATGAGCAAAACAGAGATAGAACATCCGCCTTCTGGATGACGCGCTGGACTCCATGAGCATGGCTTTCCTCTCTTATGTGCTGCCTCTACCTAGTGATGGGCAGACAAAAAGGAAAGAAAGAAGAGAAAGGAAAGAATAATATGTCAGCTTGGCTCTACTCACAGCAGATGAGCCAATCCAAGTTGAAAGAAATAATCAGTCTCAAAGTTTGCCACTTGGGGCCCAAAACAAACATTTTGATGGTGAGACACTTAAGTTGAGGGATACACTGTGACCAAGAAACAAAGCACATCTAAGGGACTCACACAACAGGCACACATGTTCAGCCACCTTAGGCTACTGTACTAAGCCACCAACAGAAAAAAATCTTTACATTTTTGTTCCACAAAAGTATTTCTTTAAAAGTAAATGGTCGAAGTGATGATGTAGCCAAGAAACCTAGACACAACACGGAGAGTAACAATTTTCAGTGTTTTCCTGGTACCACCAGTATAGACTTTTCTGAGTGTGTTAGAAATTTTTTTAAGCCAGCGAATATATGAAATTAGCAGTGAGTGCCGGTAGAAGCAGACTGTACTACATTCCCCATCACTGACAATTAGTGCTTTCTTTAATTTGATATTTAGTCTCAGAATTTTACAGCTGGAAGAAACTTGATAGAAAATCCTGTGTAGCCTAACATATGTTCTATAAAATGAAAAATCCTCTTCCTACTGTGTGTGTGTGTGTGTGTGTGTGTGTGTGTGTGTGTTTGCGTGCACATGCGCAGAATAAAGCTAGGCTATGAACAAAGGGGAAGGGAGTGATGAGGGTCAGGTGTGGCATTCCCCTTTTCAAAAAAGAGGTTGAGTGACTTACTCTAAAGTCGCATGCCTTTCAAATCTAAAGAGATAAAGTGACTTACTTGAAAGTAAAGTCCCTTTCAAATTGAAAGCTATTGCTCTATGTCAAACCATAAAATTGCAACAATCAAATGTATAAATATGATAGAAGGTTTCATCTTGATTTCTTCCTCCTGGATTTGCAGATTAATTCTCAGATTTATTAATCCTTCCTGGGGAGGACTTGCCATTAAAATGTATGGTTTTTTGGGTTTTCAGGTTGCTATTGCTTTTACCCTGGTAGAAGATAATCACAAAAAAGTGGTCTCTGTGGATTATCTAATCAATATCTCTTTAATTTCAGACAAAATTTTATACCCACTTGGTCATATTCATTGCATGTTCTTCACATGTACCCCAAAACGTAAAATGTAATTAAAAAAATAATAAAATAAATCTTTGGGCTTCCCACATCCAGGATAACTGTCTGTGGATCTTTAGGAATACTTGGACTGACTAATTCCATGCTGGTTCTACCCTTAGAATCCAGAACACACCAGAAGCGTATCCTGTTAACTTCTAGCTATGTCAAGACAACATTGAAAATGTAATTATTCACTATCTGATTTAGATACGAATGTTACAATTAGAGTCTCTTTATTGGTAGTGATAACAAAATAACTAAAACAAATTGTACCCATAGAATTTCTGAAGCCGTAACTAAAACCAGAAGGCAAATATTGTTTTTATAACTCTCACCTTAAAAAAAAAAATACCAAGGGAACTGTTTATTGTTCAATTCCATTCTTTTATAGTGTAATAGTAATTGATACTCAGGAAAAAAAGAATCTACTCTAAATGTTCTATACATTAAGGATTAAATTTTTATTTTCTGTGGTTTTATTATTGAGCATTGTGATACATCCTAATCCGCACACTGCCAATCTATCCACACCTTGTCTTTTGCCCTCAGAATATCTTATTAATCAGAACTTTCATAAACATACACAATTCTTTAACTGTTTCAAGAGTCAGGCTATAATTTCAGCTCTTGTCTTGTTTCTGTGAATATGATGGCAGGAATCATGGATTTGAGGGTGTCGAGCTGTTTCCTAACACGTATTGGCTGAATGAGGTTAAAAAATCATTTGTTTAACCTCTAAGTCTCAATTGTTTCATTTGTAAAATGAAGAGGATATTATCCATCTCAGGGGATTCATTGTAAGAATAAAATTAAATATCTGAAATAAAGTTTTTATTTCACTATGCCTCAACACAGGTAGTAAATGTATGACAAATATTAGCTAATGTCCACACATATCTCCTTCTTAAATGAAGAAATAATATCTACTTTCCCTCCCTTGTGTAAGATTTTTAAAGTAACTTAACATCACAAAGCATGTCTAGTAAATATTTTAAATAATGGAACTTTCAAATATATATTATAAATGTTTTTCAAATCTTAACCCAGCTAAGGCTTGCATTTACCTCTCATTTGTTCAGAAGAGTTGATATCAGTTTTACTATCAATAGTAATCGAGATTTATTTACTCCTTAAAGGGAGGGCCAGGTTGCTTTTTGTTTTGTTTTGTTTTGTTTTTTTCAGAGTGTAGAGCTCTTTTCTGGCAATAACAATTTCTAACTTCTAATTATCCTTTTTCTGACTAGAAAATCTAAAGTTGAATTGAAGAAGAGAAACGATAACATCTCCCTTTTTCTTTTCCAAGCTGTGAATTTAAAATACCTATTGTGTTTGTTTGTTTGTGCCTATCAACTTTGACCCATAGCTCCCAGAATAGTTTTGATATTTTCTGACAAATTGACACTAGGCTTCACATGTCACCTAAGTCCTTGGTTAGGGTAGGTCACTGTCCTCTAATTCCATGCTGATTCTTCTAGGGACTCAGGTGAGCTACTTGAAAAACAATTTCTGCCAAACCTTTGGGAAAGTGTCAGTGATTTGGTGGCCAAATTCCTCATCAGACAGTGCAAACTCATTTCCTCCAAGCTATGACTTCTGCAGAGACAGAAAGTGTCTTGTTAAGTGTCACTTGTTAAGTGACACTGTCCTCAAATTTTCTATGTGTACCATAGCCTACTTCCCCCCGAATACTATCCTTCTCCAAATCAAGGCTTGAAATAAGATGTTATCTTTTTAATTTCTATCCTAAATTCCATATAGAAGAAAGGATGGTGCAAGAGGTGGTCTCCATGGGAGAGAGAGTATAACTACCAACTAGGTCCAGAAGAAAAGCAAAGTGATGTGCTGGGTTCCTTTCTCCAAGTTCCGAGTCGCAGGAAGATGCGTTGTGGCAGCTCCAGGGAGCAGACGCATAGGGGTCGCTCCTTCTCAGCTCTCAGGAGGGACGCTGGATCGAAGGCAGGGCTCAGGTCTTCCCAGATGAAGCGAACTGAATGAAGCAGCTACCCCACAGGTAGTCCTCAGCATTATTCCGGGAACCGTCAGGGCAGAACCTGAAAGAGGAAAAGTACATGGCTGAACGTTGGGGTGTGTTTCACGTAATGCGTGGAACCTCACAGCCCACGTGTCATCCCCTCCAGGAAATGCCATTTCCTCTTCCAGGAAACAAAGGTGTGGAGAACTTTTGAGAGCAGCCGTGTTTATAAAACAAAGAGTCGGTGTCTGACAGAAAACAGAAACACCCCGTGGCCTGGGAAAGGAGACGCCAGGTCTACAGGATGCTGGCATCAGGGAAATCTAGAGGTGTCCACTGCATCTAATGGATACCCAGAAAAGATGTGAATTTTTTGTTTTATATGAAATTTTAAGATTTAAAAAAAAATCCCGATTTTTAAGACATATGATGGATGTTGTTTTAAAAGATCCAGTCTTCAGGTTAACAGGTTCCCTATCATAGGACTATATGATTATAGGACAATTCAGTAGCCAAAAGTCCTCAAAGACCAGTTGTCCAAAAGCTAAAGAAAGAGAAAGCTGAGTGTGTGATATAAGAATGGAGAATTGGCCAGGCACAGTAGCTCATGCCTGTAATCCCAGCACTTTAGAAGGCCAAGGTGGGTGGATCACCTGAGGTCAGGAGTTTGAGACCAGCCTAGCCAAAATGATAAAACCCTATCTCTACTAAAAATACAAAAATTAGCTGGTCATGGTGACACATGCCTGTAATCCCAGCTACTCAGGAGGCTGAGGCAGGAAGAATCACCTGAACCCACAAGGTGGAGGTTGCAGTGAGCCGAGATTGTGCCACTGCACTCCAGCCTGGGCGGCAGAGCATGACTCTGTCTCAAAAAAAAAGGAAAATTAATTATTCAGTAGCTCTTGAGAGGGCAGCTCCAGCCTGGCTTGGGTTTGAATCTTGGCTTTGGTACTTCATTAATTGTGGGAACTTAAGCGAGGTGCATAACCTTTCTAAGCCTCATTACTCTAATCTGTTAAGGAAAGATGATGATGATGATGATGATGATACAGTTAAGACTGTGAATATTATATGAGTATTGTGTCAAAGCCATCGCAGGCAGGACACGGTAGTTCACCCCTATAATCGCAGTACTTTGGAAAGCTAAGTTTGGAGCATCACTTGAGGCCAGGAGTTTGAGACCAGACTGGGCAACTAGTGAGACCCTGTGTCTAAAACAAACAAAAAAATTAAATATTAGCTAGGGCATGGTTGTATGTGCCTGCAGTCCCAGCTATTTGGGAGGCTGAGGTGAGGGTACTACTTGAGTCCTGGGGGTCACGGCTGCAGTGAAATAGGATCGAACCACTGCACTCCAGCCTGGGCAACACAGCAAGACCCTGTCTCAAAAAGAAAAAGATAAAGTCCTTATCAGACCTGGTGTATATATGAAACTTTTTCTAAAGCCACTAACTAACTGTCCTGATTAAATTAACAGGGCAGCTGATCTTCCTTCTATTGCCTAATTACCAATGAGAAACCCAGATGTGCAGTGTGAGGAATTC